TTTTTCAAGCGTCGGGATCGGTCAGCCCGCCCACGCTCTCATCTCGCTCTTATCTCGCTCTTAATAAAGATTCTGAACCACCTTTGTCTTATTGCTTTCAAAAGGGTAAATCACCCACTCTTCACGCACCCATCCTGGTCAGTATAGGTCTTATTTCAAATGGCCACTTCGAGTTGGGATCCTTCCCTGGTTAGTCCAGCGAAAGAGTGAAGAAGAGGTTGATAGGTAGGGCTGTATCTGATAAAAATTCACTTTTCTACTGCGCTCGTCACGGGCGGTCGTGTTAGTGAATGCGGTCCTCATCTGCCCCTGTTCGTCCAACTACTGAGGAGTGCCCCAAGGGGGATCTTATCACCCTTACTCTCCTAATTTACACACATGACCTTGTCTCTTGCATTAAATCAGATAGTTAGCTTCACGTTGCCGCCTATGCAGATGATCTGAAGGCATCCATTACTTCCATGAGCATGACCGTGATGAGGCACAGAGGTTGTTGAAGAAGGCCGCGAGAATATGTGTAACTGGTGTTCCAGTGGGGTTTGAATGTCAACCTCGACGAATGCCATCTCTTTTCACTGGGGTCAGTTCAGCTAGAAGCACGGTTTCCTGACGGAAACCTTGCCACACCGTCTCACAAGGTGAAGGATCTCGGGGTCAACCTAACCACGGGGTTGAAGTGGAGCCTTCATTCAGATCTTATCTCCGCCAAAGGGCTTAAGCTAGTGTATCTCTTGTTCAGGAATATTCACTCTTCCGATACTTCCGTATGGATCAGCCTCTACAAGATGTATGTTCTCCCGATAGTCGAGTACTGTAGCTCGGTTTGGAGCTCCTCCTTGGTCAAAGACATTCAGAAATTCGAAAAAAGTCTTGATTACCCTCAAACGATGCCGGCCTACTAGACTCGACTAAAGGAGCACAACTTGAAGATCTGTTTCATAGACGCGATGAAGCTGATCTTATTTTAGCCTTAAAACTTCTTAGAGGAGAGTTGCGTTTGAAGCCTTCCAGAGTCTGGACATTCCGGCCATCTCGAGGGCGAAGAGGCATCTTCAATGTGTTCAATCACAAAATGGGCAACCGGCGTCGGTATCTAAGAGCTAACAGCTACATAATATGAACAACCAAGTGGCTGCAGTGGCTACCTTGCCAGATTCTGGCGCTCAACAACTCATCCCAACTCAGAACGGTTATCAGGAAATCAAATGCCTTGACTCTGTTGTGCATCACTGACGTGCGTTGGAATTTGCTCAGGTGTTTTTCACTGTTTTCGTTGGAGTGCTCAGCGCTTTCTTGTTCAGCGATCTTGCCCTGACACGAACTGACCAATCTTTCCTGCTTTCTAGGCTTATCAGCTGGTTATCCGAATCTTATCAACATACACTCTATCGTCTTTTTAGCGCTCCGGATGGGGAGGACGTCAGGCGCCTTTCGCTGCATCCATGTGCCTCCGCTACGCTCGCCTAGCTTTCCGTCTCCACGTGGGCTGACGGTATACCCGTGTATCGAAGTTTCGGTTAGCCCCTATGACCCTGATGTGGCGAGGGCATCATAGCCGACTGATGCAGACTTTTGTCGTGGGTAGCGCATGTTTGTAATGTGTTAAGGGTGCACGGCTATCCTCAATCGAGAGCTTTTTTAGTTAAACGTGGTGATGGTGTTAGATCGGTTTGCCTGCTGATTGTCTTTCTCAAATTTCCAGTGTTTCTCTAGAAGCAGAAGATAGCCAGCCCGCTCGACAAGCGAGCTAGATAATGCTCAATGTTTCTCATTTTCTTTCTTCTTCCCACCTTAAATACTAACCGATTCGAGAAAAGACTTTTCGGATATACATTAACTTTTCTATTGTGTTATGTTCCCTCTTTTCTTTTTTGGTAGTTCCTTTTTCTATATTTCCTTCGTTAGATATTTTTTACTTCACGCTAGTGCATTTCTTTGCCAGGCTGTAAGGCTGGGGGTCCAGGCCTAACCGTGGCCGACTACGCCCAAAAGCTGGCCTGAGAATTTCATCAAGGTCCCAGGATGAATTTCCGGCTTGGATGTCATCTTTCATTCGCGCACGAGTAGAACAGGTCACGGGTGCAATTCAATGGTTTCATTCACATAAGCTGGGTTCACCTTGTCTCAGGACGACAGTGCTCTTCGAGAATGCGCTTGGAAGAAGTCCATTCCGAGCAAATCTATCCCCATGGTAGGTGTCTCACTCCGTCAAACTTCTTTAGTATTTCAATGGAACAGTTACGTAACCATGGTACAGCTTATGTGAAAAGGAGCTCAGAGTCGTGGTCTTCACAACGAACTGATTAACTACAAAGCGCAAATTTTCGAATGACCCTTGTGGTAAGAAATCCATTGGGAAGCCTAGAGTGTTGAATAGCCTTGGAGTGTTCAGAATTTTCAAGTCCATCATTTGACTCTAGGCTGGGGGTGTGCTCGAACCTATAGCTATGGTGCATAGGGTATGACTAGATAAGAGGAGAGGTCTGCAAACATAATATCGATGAGAGGTCCGGAAATGGCGAACCGCAAGCTCTATTCTGCTTAGCTTTTCTTTTATTCCAGTCGGTCTTTTCCATATATCAAAGATTACTCACCAAAAAAAAGTTGAGCATTGTCCCGGAAATGTAGAAAAAAATCGGAACGATAGGAACAACATGTGGTTCCATGAGTTGTGGTAGAATTCGTGGGAGAGCAGCGATTAGAAGTATAAGAAGCCCGATTCCGTACGCGGATTGCTAGAAATGGTCAAATTGCCTGGTCCAGCCTTCAACACGGTTTTCACCGTGTTTTCAATAATAGAAATCAGAATAGTTATGTTATACATATAAAATATATATGGCGCGCTCAGTGTGTCTGTTGGTTTGTCGGTGTATTTTGTGTATTTGTAAGTGTATGCGCGTGTCAGCGTATGTGGTGGCATTATATATATATATATACCGCCTTCAATAATGGTACAGCCACCTATAAATTTCACCAGAGCTTACGTTCCAGGGCCTTCCGGAAAAACTCCCAAAGTATAGCTTTTGCTCCATTCGTACTGTAACTTAACTGAACTGTATCTGTAGATCAACAGCATGTCTCATCTCAAAGCGAGAACATTTTTCCCCTTCATTTTTCAGGAAACGTCACTTCGCATATGCCCAAAGTAATAGAGCTAGATCATCAGATCATTCGCTTGCTTTCCATTTTTACCTTACGCGATTGCTTCAATTGTGTAACGTTTTTTAACTTGAGAAAATGGGTTAAGGAAAGTAGCCATCCGATCCCGAGAAAGATCAAATTCCCGCAAGAGAGGAACAGGGATTGTCAAGTCGTGGAATCTTGTGGTCTGGTCCGATGCCACGCAGTTGTCCACAATTTCATCGGGAATCCTGAGTATGGGACCAGTAGAGGTTTGGGACGTTCTTCACTTCTTTCGGAAAGGTGCAAGCGACGGATAACGAGAGAAGCGTACGACTGAATTATATACG